CCGCCCGCGGCCCCGCCCCACCTGGAACATGGGGTAGGTGAGGAAGGTCTCCAGCGTGCGCTCCTCGCAGTCGGGCTTGGCCTCGTAGTGCTTGAGCAGCTTGTCGAAGTCGCGGTTCTGCTTGCAGTGGGCCAGGATCTGCAGGCTGTACTGGTGGTTGCGCACGAACTCCTGGTAGATGTTGAGCATGGGCAGCAGGATGTCGAACAGGTCGGCTGGGGGGAGGCCGGGGTCAGCATGCGCCGCGGGGCGCCCCCCCCCCGCCTGCCCCGGGAGGCGCCCGAGAGCCCGGCGGGCCTCCCAGGGTGCTGCGGGCGCCCACGCTGGCCAGGGCCGGGGCGCTCAGCTGGTCCCCCACCCTGACGCAGCACCCAAGGCCGTCCAGCTGGAGTGCAGGCCGCTCGCCTCAGGTCAGACACCGTGGGGGGCCGCCGCAGCTCGCCGCGGCCTCTGAGGCTGCACCGGCCCTCGCCCTGCTCCCGATGGGCTTGGTGGGGGCTCCCCAGGAAGCCTCCCTCCCGGAGGGCCCTCGGACAGGTCACTAGCGGCGCGGAGGGCACTGCATCTCCCACCTCCTGCCCCCTCTGAACTGCGTCGCCCAGACTCCGTCCGCAGCCCTGCCCACGCCCTCCAGGGTAGCGCGGCCAGCAGAGCCAAGCTGAGCCCGAGCCAAGGGGCTGCGGACCTGACACCCCGCACACAACCCCATTTCCACAAGGGGGCGCACTTCGCCCGGCACCTGCGTCAGCTCGGGGTGCAATCTGCCTGCGCCCAGCCTGGTCCCTGCGGCCATCTCTGCTCCCCGGGGGGGATAGGGGCAGTGGGGACAGAGCTGGCCAGGGGCGCGCAGGGGTGGGGGCGCAGACATCGGGGCTCACAGGTAATGGGTACGGGGCGGAGACCAGGGACGCAGGGGAGGGCTGCGGGGCGCTGGGGGGCGGGGCGGGCCAAGGCTGGGGAGACTGGCCTTTGGAGCCTTGCGGGAGCAGGTGCGGCCCGGGACGGGGCGGGCGCCCAGCGTGCGCGGCGGAGGCAGCGCGGGGCTTCCAGTCGAACACCACCAAGGGAACCCCAGGACCACACCCCAGGAGGTCGGAGGACCCCGGCATTTGCAACGGCTCCCGGGGCCGGCATTTGAAACATTTTCCATTTTCCCGGATTTTCAAAGGTTCTGTCTCCAACGCGCGCAAAGGTGTTTTCCGTAAAGGGAGAAAGGGGTGGGGCACGGCAGCGCGCACTCACCCAGCACCAGCGTGGGCCAGCTGGAGACGCGCGCCTTCAGGCCCTGGTAGAAGATCTGGTGCAGGAACATGATGGTCTCGCTGCGGAGAGAGCCGGGTGGGCGCGCGCCTCGGCCGCTGCCCGCAACACCCCGGAGCGGGGCCGCGCGGTGCCCAGACAGAGGGCTGCGGGGAGCCTTCCCCGCCCGCCCCGCTCCGGGAGCAGGACAGGGCTGGACACGGAGGGCAGCCCTGCCGCGTGGGCGGGTGGGGACCCCCACGCCTCCGCCACCGGCCTCCGCAGTTTAGGGGACAGCACAGACGAGGACCGGCCCCTCCCAGGCGGCCACCCGGCCGGCTACTGCCAGGGTGAGGGGACGTGACGGCTGGGGAGCAGCGCGGCTGGCTGTGTCCCTGCCCTGTGGGGAGCACACCTGGCCGCTGAGACCCGCGTGCGCGCCCCCCGACCTCCCGCGCGGCTCGCTGGCTGGCCCCTAGGCCCGGGCACCGGCCGCCGCTGCTGGGCTCCCGCTTTGCCAGGCCTGTGCGGGGGGGGGGCGCAGGGCCGAGGGTCCAGGCCGCCTGGCGGCCAAGGCCAGGCAGAGGGGACACGTCCCGAAGGCAGATTTCTCAGCCCTGAGCCGGGTTCTGGGCCCTGCGGGCACGGGTGGAGCCTGTCGCCCGCCCAGCGGGACACTGCGGGTGGTCAGCCCGCCCCGCCCACGCCCGCAAACCCAGGCGACGTGCCGAGAGAGCGGGCAGACGCGGGGTGGGGGACGGCCGAGGCCGCGCGGCCCGCACCTGTTCAGGAAGATGCTGCTGACGTCGTCGTGGGTGATGGGCGGCTTCTTGGAGCTGGCGGCCATGCGCAGCGGCCGCAGGAAGTTGTTGACCAGGATGTGCAGCTGCTGCACGTACTCGGCCTCGGCCTCCAGCATGCTGAACACCACCTGGTTGCGCTTGCGCATGCTGTCGGCGTGCGGGGAGCGGATGTAGTCCTGGATGACGCTCTTCCACTTGCGGCGGCACAGCCAGCCGCGCAGGAAGCTCTGCACCTGGGGGCCGGCGGGGCGGGGTCAGGCCCGGGGGGCGGGGTCAGGCCCGGGGGGCGGGGTCAGGCCCGGGGGGCGGGGTCAGGGCCGGAGGGCGGGGTCAGGCCCGGCGGGGAGGGGCTCAGGGCCTGGAGGGCGGGGTCAGGCCCGGAGGGCGGGGTCAGGCCCGGAGGGCGGGGTCAGGCCCGGCGGGGAGGGGCTCAGGGCCTGGAGGGCGGGGTCAGGCCCGGAGGGCGGGGTCAGGGCCGGAGGGCGGGGTCAGGCCCGGCGGGGAGGGGCTCAGGGCCCGGAGGGCGGGGTCAGGCCCGGAGGGCGGGGTCAGGCCCGGAGGGCGGGGTCAGGCTCGGAGGGCGGAGCCAAGCCCGGTGGGAGGAGTCAGGCCCGGTGGGTGGAGTCAGGCCAGTGGGCGGGGTCAGGCCCGGAGGGCGGGGTCAGGCCCGGGGGGCGGGGTCAGGCCCGGGGGGCGGGGTCAGGGCCGGAGGGCGGGGTCAGGCCCGGCGGGGAGGGGCTCAGGGCCTGGCAGGCGGGGTCAGGCCCGGTGGGCGGGGTCAGGCTCGGAGGGCGGAGCCAAGCCCGGTGGGAGGGGTCAGGCCCGGTGGGTGGAGTCAGGCCAGTGGGCGGGGTCAGGCCCGGTGGGCGGGGTCAGCCGTGGGCAGGGTCAGGGGCCAGTAGGCAACACCTGCAGGTGCTCCCAGAAGGGTCCATCCACCCGCACCCAAGCCCCACGGGCAGCCCCGTGGCGAGAGTGTGGCCTCCCTGGCCACCTTCTGCCTGCTGGGCTGTTCAGCGCCAAGGTCAGCCTGGAGCATGGACAGTGGACTGGCGGCCACTTCTACCCATGACGGCCTGGAGCATGGTGTCTCCTTCAAAGCCCGTCTGGACAGAGGGCCAGTGCCACATGGATGGGGTGCAGCGAATCAGGTAGCTTTTTGTGGGGTGTCCTGGGGCTCTGGGGCAGCAGAACCCCCTCCCTGGTCACTAGTTCAGCTGCCGGGCAGAGACTCAGTGGGCAGGGACTGGGGACACATGGACAGGGCAGAGCCCA